CAGCCGGAAGTTTTTATCAGGATTTGGTAGGTACAAAGTGCCGGTTGTACTAGCCAGGATGGCGTGATTGATGACGAATCGCTTGTAAAAACGCGGACAAATATTTGTTCGAGTTACGCTTCTGGTATAACTTCCTATTCTGTGCCTCGGTCTTGAAAACGTCCCTCGCCCTTCGGGCTCGGGCCGTTTTCAAGACCTCGGGCACAGTTTTTCTCATCCGGACCTCGCAGCCGGTAAATAACATATAATAGTCTCATTAGTCTGGAACCATATAGCCTGTTTATAACTAACGAGCAATCCTGGTTAAATTAGTCAGGACTATGATCAAATAAACCAGGAAATTTAAGGGAATATTAAGTTACCCTAAACAGTGTTAATTTTAGGTTATACTAGCAAATTTGTAACCAGGATATTTTTAGAGTGCATGCAGCACGTGACAGTATTAACACGTGTTGCTTTGCAAGAATTTTAGGTCCTGTTTTTTAAATCAGCTCAGTAATATACCAATATATATAAAAGAAAGTCAAAACTTAAACGCGGTTTTATCGTTTATCGGTGGTTTTATATGTCCAATGTAAGCAGAAATTATTAGAGAAAGCAAAACGCTATCAATTTTCAAAAGGAAAATCGCTATACCCATCGTTATTAAAGTATGGTTGTAAATAGTAAATTAACTTATATTATAGTAATATTTTTTCACATATGCATGTATTTTTCTTACTACATTTAACTTTTTTTGTAAATTTACTTTTGTTCACACGCCCATTATGGAAACCAGCTTTAGCTGACAATGTTAGCGTGGTTAAATAAAGTTTTATCATCATCATATGTGATAAAAAATCGTATTCATTTACATAAACTTTAGCTTTGATTTTCTCGGCTTAGACAAAGTTTATTTTAAAAATTACTTCGCCAATTATGTGCTCATCAGATGCATTTGATGGACCCATGGGTCTTTTTTATCTGATAAAGCACTGACTCCTGCATGCTCGTGCTTTAAATAGTACATAAATGTGTTTAACGAGTGCATGACTTAATCGCTTTTTTAGACAATACGACAAAGTAATATGGAGCAAGAAAATCCACAAAGTGGTAACTCCTAGACTGCGAGCGGTCCCTCCTTAGTGACTCCTAGTTCGTGGTCATTGCTATAGTGCGTTTTGTTTTCATTACAATGCGTGTATATTTATATCAGTATATGTCCAATTCTGAGTCCATTATTGGCAAAAATCTGTACAGACTGTAGATAGTAAGATGAAAAATTGATGACGTCAACTCACCCAGTCAGAGAGTTTGCGAATGTAAAACGTATAAAGTATAACTTTTGCCACTCTGATTCGTGTCTGGTTCCACAGTAAATATGTTTACTTAGTTTTAGGTTAAATTGATTTATATATAGACCGCCACCCAGCAAGTTAATCGAAGAGTTTGGTCACCATATATTTCAAGCTTGAAAGGTATACAGTCTATATACACCCAACTAATACATCTAACGAATGCATAAAGTCCATAAATATACTAATTTACACACTGCATGCATGAAGTATGACCATTGTTTCAATGATGAAATAGACGTAAGTTCGTGTGAATCATAACCATATTGTGTTCGTTAGCAGCTTCGACTACAATGTCATCAGCAACTGATCCAGCAGGACTGGCAATGTACTCCACGCCACTCTAGAAGTAAATTCAATTTTGAACTGAAAAGACGTGCTTTGATTTACGTCTTTGATCAGTTTCAAATTTTCTAGGATGCTATAAAAACACCCAGAAAAGAAAATAACGGAAACTAAACGAAATTAGTCATTTCATTTTACACTGGAGGGCTCTATAGCTATTGGTTCAGTGCAAACTTTTCTAACATGACGAGGACGAAATTAGAATCTTGCGCAGATTCTAATTTCAATTAACA